CACTCAGAAATGACCATTAACTATGTTCACTGTTGGGAACATAGCAGTGAAGGCAGTGTGGTTGATTCCCATCTCCAAAGAGCTCATGGTCTGCTGTGGGGGGGTGGGGATGATTGTCCTGATAGTGGGACAGCGCTAAGTGTACCCCAGGAGGGGCAGATGTGGTGGATACTGCTTGGTGAATGCTGAGCTGGGTCCTGAAGGGGGAGCAGGCTGTTTTTAGGTGAACAGAATAGACAGAGAGAGGGAAGCTTCCAAACAGAGGGAACAATTCCGAGATAAGTATAAGCATTGTATGACCTCCATTAAGATTCTGAAACCACACTTAGTAAGGTTGCTTGAGCTGGACTGAGTAACGATGGATTAAAACAAATATAAATTCTTAAACCCATGTTGGATTCTGTTTCATACCAGGTTGGGAACAACTCCGGCCTGCATTTGACAGATGAGAGAAGGGAAGTCCAGAAAGGTCAGATGACTCTCCAAGGCCATACAGTTCATTACCAGAGTCAGAGCTAGGAACAGTGATTTCCTGCCCAATGCTCTCTCTAACACACCCCTACTGCTTTTCCCTGAGTGACAGTTGAGATTGGCTTTTTATTTGTTTGATTCTGTTTTGGGGTGGTGGTGTCTCTCTGACAGTTTCCTCTGGATCACAGACCTTGCCACTGTGCTCAAGAAGCAGTCAGGTGGATCGTCCCCCTCCTTGGCATCAGCAAGGGCCCCTCAGTCAGGCCCTGAGTGTGTAGCTGGGCTAATGCCAGTATGTTTGACACCCCCCTTGGCCTGGCATGAGCGCTCCCTCCTGGCAGAGTTCGCCCAGCCTAATTGCTTGTTTTGTATCCCAGCTGCCTGACATATGCCAAACCCATGTGTTGACTCGCTGGTGTCAGAGACGATGACACTCAGGCATTTCACATTGGCTTTCATGAGCCCTAGCAAGGAACTGCATTTCTATAACCCAGCACCTAGCACAGTGCCTGTGGCTCATGGTAGGTGTCCAGCTTTTTATGAAAGTGAATTTTAGTGACTATAGGAACATAACACAGAAGTAAAAGTAGGGACTTCAAAGTAAGAAGTCCTAGCTTTTGAGTATCAGCTCAGCTAACTGAGTTCCTCTGGGGGGGGATCTTGAGCAAGTCTTTTCTCTCTGAGTTTTGGTTACTTGATCATTTTCACTTAACAACCACTCAGAGAGTGACATCCCATGCTTACCCTAGCCACTGGAGATGTGGTTTCAGCCTTCTTCTGGCTTACACATGAGCATGTGAGATAGGTAGAAGCTCCATAAATATGAATTATAGAAACATGCGATGATCACAGTGTTGGAAAGATTCTTGTAAGGTGTATAGCAGCGGTTCTCAAACTGTGGGTCGCAACTCCTTTTTAACAACGAAAATACATTGACGCATTAGGAAGGTTGAGAACCACTGGTTTATAGAAACCCAGAGGAGGGGGTGGTAAATTTGGCAACTTAAATTTGGTAATGACAGCTTAAATGGGATTTTCTTTTTTTCTTTTTTTTTTTTGAGATAGTCTCACTCAGTTGTCCTGGGGTTGAGTGCTGTGGCATTGGGCTCAAGTGATCCTCTTGCCTTAGCATCCTGAATAACTGGGACTACAGGCACCCACCACAATGTCCAGCTAGGTTCTTTTAGAGACAGGGTCTTGTGCTTACTCAGGCTGGTCTTGAACTCCCGAGCTCAAGCAATCCACCTACCTCGGCCTCCCAGAGTGCTAGGACTACAGTCATGAGCCACCATACCAAGCCCCACTTAAATAGGATTCTATTGTGCTAAGACAGTGACCAAGGGAAAGCAAAACATGTCAAATATCACACTGGCAGTGAAAGGATCATATGAGCTAGCTGGGAAGCCAAGTTGGTGACAGTAGTTACCATGCTAATGGTTTTTCACCAAGGTTGTCTTCTATTTCGGACTTTTATATTCAAAGCAGCAACTATTTCTTAGGTACATTCCAACTAGCTCAGAGCAGCTCACAAAAACTGATTATTAAATGTTTGAGAATTCTGCAAGCTGGTGTTAAACACAGCCATTCTTAAAAAGTAGATTATGTAAAATTAAATGTATTAAAAACCAAGGTAACAAATACTCATAACGTATTACTTTCTAATTATTGTATTGTATTTTTGCTCTTAAGCTTATTTAGGACTCTTGTTCTCTCTGTGGTGGAAACACTGTCTAAGGGTGTCCTACTGTGCCTCTCTTCCCAACTCTGCTCAGTGACATCTGATTGGTAGCTTGAAATTGACCATGATGAGAGTATTTACAACACAGAAATGGGCAAGCACAGTTAAAGCTGCTTTTCTTTTCTTTTCTTTCTTTCTTTATTTTGAAAATCAGCTGATAAACATTTACCAGCACACCACTGAAGGTAGTCATTAAATAATGGAAGAACAAAGAAAGCCCTGGAAAGCTCAGCACTGATATCATTTCAAGCTTCCCTGGACACAAGCAAGTGTCTTGAGACACATTTCAAAGCCCTCCACAGAGCTGATTTCCCCCATCTCCTTTGCTCCAGAGAGGGCGTTCTGTTAAACTAGGCTTTCTTGAAAACTGAAAGTCATGAAAACAGAAAGGGGATGGAAGTGTTTTCTCTGGGGCTTAATTCCTAACCCAAATGCCTGTTTTGGCAAGAGGCCTTTGTGACCTACCGGCATACAAGGAGTCAACTTAATCTTCCCCAGAATCCAAAAGTAGTCCACAGGAGCCCGGGCTAAAATTACATCAGCTCTGGCTTGCCGAGTTGGAGGCTACATGAGAGCCAAATGGTGCTGATTTAGTGTTTCCCAATTATCGGGAAATCCCCAAAGAGAGAGAAATCAGAGGAGACTGGCCTGCATGTGATGAGGGACAGCAGCTGGGGCAGTCCCACAAAGGAAACCATTCCCAGAGGGCTGGTTACTGTCCAGAAAGAAGCCAAGGGTACATATGTCAGGGGAAGCCTGGATAGTAGCCAGCAGAAGGAGATGAGATCTGTTAGTAATTCCGTGGAAGGACAAAGTTCCAGCAATAAGAAATCCAATTGTCCCCCATTAAAGAACGCATCCCTCAGTCCCAACTGAATACAATTGATGGAATAAATCATACCCATTTGCAGAGATAATTTCACATAAATATATTGGGAGACCTTCAGAGCAGGACTGAAAAAGTCTTTGCTGAGCTTCACCTGCTTAACTTGTTGGCTGTGTAATTACATTTAGACCAAGGGCCTCGGAAGGAAACTGCAGCTTGAATTAGCATTAACCAGATTGTGTGTGGTGAGGTTGGGAGTTGGGGGGGTGCAGGGGGTTGGTGCATTGTGGGTAGTTGTTCTTGCCTTCAGAAAGGACAAGCTGACACTAGTGAGACCAGCTGCTTACAAGCCTGGTGTTAATTGCTTTTCTCATCAAACAGAGAAAAGTTTATCACTCTAGGAAGGTAGAGGTGTGGGCACCTAATAATGCAGAAACTGAGTTTGAGATCTTTTTTTAGTCCATGGGCATCATCTGTAGACCAGAAAAAAAGGCTTCTGAACTGAGGAGAATGGATTAAGTTATGTGGACAACAGTGCCTCCATTTTTGCCTCAGATTTATCTCATCAACGAGGGCAGTCCTCCTAGCACCCCAACTCTTTAGGATATTGACACCCTATCCAGCACCCTCATTTCCATCCATGTCAACAGCAAACAGGCTGGTCCAGACTTGGACTCAGAGTCGTGAGGCCCAGATTCAAGACCTGGCTCTGCCACCACCTGTCAACGTGGCTTCACACAAATATTATAACCTCCCAGGAACTCAATTTCCTATTCTATAAAATGAAAACGGTTCCACTAACTTAGTGATTTTCCAACTGACTTTTCCAGACTAAGACTCCAGAGCTGCCCTCAGAACCTCCCAAAAGGGAGAGGCGTCCACCACCTCTGCTTCATCCAGAAATCATCTTCTTGTTTTCAACTTTGAGTCCTTATAAAAGGCCATCTGCCAAAAAGTTCCCGCTTCTGAAACATTTGAGAAACCATCATTCCAAAACATCTCTAATTCTTCCACTTATTTATTGAGCCCCCATTTTTTGAACAGTGACATAGTATTTATTACATACAGTCCAGGCACGTAGAGAAACAAAAAAGAATCCTTCATCCTCCCCTCAAAGAGCTCATGATCTGGTGGGGGAGGAGAAACGCGTGTTTTGGCAGGGTATCAAGGTGTTTGTGTCGGGTTTCAGGGGATAGAGGAACTAATTCTGATACGGGGCATCAAAAAAGGTTTCAGGGAAGAGGTGTTATTTGAAAATGGGTGAGAATGTTGGGAAAGGGGGGCAGGAATGACGTTTTAGGCAGATTAAAGATTATTTCAGACTCAGAGGCTCTAACCAACGTTCGCCTGGCGAGTTTGGGAAACACAGATGATTTGTCGTCTACTGGGAGAGGGATAGCAGGTGAGGTGACAGGTTCTATAACCCCCTCCAAGGGGGTGTTAGCATCTGTCCTTCTGTATCCAATGCCAGATGGATGTACCCTCTGTCCTGCTCACTTTCTTGTATGTTCACTCCCAATAAGACAGTTAGTGACAATAGAAGCCATTACCATTTAGGGAGCTTACTCTGTACTGGGATGAAAATACAGAGGCTCAAAGAACTGTCACATACCTACACAAGTTCAGAGAGCTACAAAGTGACAGAGCTGGGATCTGAACCCAGATCATCTAACTCCAAATCCATACATGTAACTATACTGTATTACCCTCTGGGATCAATTGTATCTCCTTATAGCATAATATAGTATCCTTAGAAAATAACCTCTGAGTGAGATGTTTGGAAAAAAACCCCAACTGTAATTCTCTCAAGGATACTTGTATGCCTTAGTTGAGGGGGTATCTTTAAAAGATATTATTTTATTGTCTCTGGGTGTAAGAAGTGTCTGAAGGATTGGGCTTCTGTCTTCTGACCCCTAGGGTAACTGTGAAAGGTACATCGCGTTATTCTCTCTTCTCTTCCCGCAGGCATGCATGTGTTATTCGTGGTCAAGTGATGACATCAGATGGGACCCCGCTTGTTGGTGTGAACATCAGTTTTGTCAATAACCCGCTCTTCGGATATACAATCAGCAGGCAAGATGGCAGGTAGGAGACCCTTATGGGCCAGGAAGAGTGAAGGCCTTGTCCTGTGACTCTGCCACATAGCTGCTACTGGACTGATAAAGGGGAAAGAGGATGTGACATGGACTCAGAGGGCCTAAATTCAAATGCCCAGCTCAGCAGCTCACTAGTTACATGGCCTTGTACCTAACTCTGGCCTACGTCCTTTTGGTTACGCATGAAACAATTTCTTATTTGGTCCTCAGCCTGGAACACCTTATACATACTGTCCTGCTCCGCAATTTCTGATATAAAACACTGCATGTGTACCACTTTCTACATACCAGACAGCTCCAGAAATCTCAGTCATCCCTATCATGTGGTCTCCATCCTGCAACTGCATAAGTCTATGGAAGCCATTTGGGTGATGATAGAATTTAGACCTTTGAATTCCTCTGAGAACCATCAGTAGAATGAGGTCAAGCCTCCCTCATAGCCCTCACGCTCCCACCTGCTAGCTGAGTGTCCTTGGACAAGTCACTTAACCTCTGTGAGCCTCAATTTCTTCATCTGTCTAATGGTCATAATGCTCTCTATCTCACAGATTGGATGGATTGGGAAGCAGCTGGCACATAGTAGGTGTTTAATAAATCTTAGTTCCTTGCCCCTATTTTTAATTCATTGCTCTATTTCCAGTGCCTGGAATAATAGATAGATATTAGCTATATGTTAGCATTTCAAATTATTGAATGATGAGAAGGTGATGGTAACAGGGCAGGCAATGAGAAGATTTTGGAGAAAAAGAGGAGGAGGAAAGTGGACTATTTAGGCTGTCAGTGGTGACAAGTCCTCTGTTTTTAATAAAACCAGGTGGTGGCAGTCCATCTGGCTAAGTGTGGGCCCATAAGGTTGATTTTCACTGTGTGTTGGAAATTATTCTCCAGGCTGATTGATTTTAGCACCTCTTTAATCCAATATCAGATGTAAACATGTCCCGGCCGAGGCGATAATGAAGTAGAGGCTCGTCTGTTTGTAGACATGTGTGCCTCTTAGATGGGCTTGGCAAGCGTGGTGGGGGGCGCCCTCCCTCCATGTGAATGGGAAGGCCTAGCTGCAAGAAGCTGGTGGCCAGTCCTCAGGGCTAACCTGGCCAGGCCAGTCTTCTGTGCCCTGCCCTGTACACCTTCCAACCCAGGAAGCTCCTCAGGGAAGACTCCCACTAAGGCATGAAGGAATCTCCTTTTCTATGCTCTGTCTTCACTGCCTTCCTGCTCTGTGACAATGGCAGATGTGACCATCCTGGGCACCAGGTATTCTGACCACATTATCACCTGCTGTTAAACAGTCATCCAAAAGCAGCCTTGGAGAACTGCTCTCTTTTTGCCATGAAACTTGCCAGTCAGTCACGCGAGATGAGAAACCATCAGTCCTTATGCCTTGCTCTGGTTGGTGGCCCTAGGGCAAAGCTCACTGTCCGGTACCTGCAGGCTCTAATTCCTCCTGTTTGTGCTACCCCTGCAATCTCTACTGCCCCTTGAAGAGCATAGAGGTCCTGGGAGCTAAATATCAGCCATGTTTCCTGCAATCAACCTCCTATGTTACATCATAGTAGCCAGAATTGCAACAATAGGGCTTGAGTTGCAGACCAATTCCTACCAATCCATTACGGGTCTTAAGTTTTCTTTCATAATGTACAGGAAAGTTCTCACTTGCTGTCTCATTGTCTGAAAATCCCCTGTTTGTTATGCAGGAACAAGTGGCATTTCCTTCCCATTCTTCTTGACACCCCTTCTTTCTTACATCTCATACCCAGGGAAAAACTGTGAGACTAGAGCTATAGTCTGGAACCATGTATGCAGGTGGACTAGGAATGCAGGACTGTGTCCGACTGCATTCCTCACTATCCAGGCAGGCACCTTGACACCCTCATCCAGCCCCCTCACCCTCTGCACACTCACACACACACATTCACCCACACTTGCTGAAATACCAGATTTCAAGTCTTAACAGGAGCTCATAAAACAGAAAACAGTAGCCAAGAAGTTAGCCAAAGAGATCATTAAAAAACTGGGAAATGGATGTCGTGAAGAAAAACTAAGAGAACAGCAGACAGGAGCAACAGCTGAAACTCAATGAATTGAAAAATGGGATTATATAGAACAGGATGCCCAGGGAATGTGTGGGCCATCTATTATCCCATCTGTATAACTGACAACTCTGCCAAATGCTGGTGATCATCAACTTCATTTTACAGATGAGGAAACCAAGGCTTGGAAAGGGGGACATAACTCATCTTTGGAATAAGTAGCCATGCTCAGACTGGCCCTAAGCTGTTTGGGCCTCATTTAAGAACAAGACCCTCCCACTCTGGGTCAAATCCACATGCCTATCCACAGCGGGGTTCCCCTTGGCAAGGCCAGCTGCCCCGTCTTGCTCACAGCCCACAGCCGTGAGAGTATGCCTTTTCATTATTTGTCTTCCCCATACTCAACCTTTCAGGAAGGGAAAATTTTGCCCTGTAAGTCTGGGCAAAATTCTGTTTGACAATTAAAAAGATTCTTTCAAAGCGCAGATGCTATTCAGTTCTGTGACAGAAAAGTTGTTCTCTGGGTATTTCCCCTGCACCATGGATCCTGGAGAGCCCAAACCTGAACTCTTCCTTCAAAATAAATACCTTCCCTTGTATTTCTTTGTCATACTTATTAATCAGTGGTGGTAACTGACTTCCTGCACCCAACTATGAACCCAGAAAGGGCTGAGTGAGCAGCAAAGTGGTGATAAGTCCCCACTGATGATAGAAAAGTCAGGCATTGGAGCTTAGGAGCCCACACCTGGGGGTCCATCTACCAAGAGCAGGATTCGGCACTAGGACAGGGTAGTTCAATGCCGAATCCTTGTGGTTTCTAGAGGAGGGAAGAGCAAGCCAGAGCAATGGGCCCAATCCCACAGGATAGATTTATCAGGGTAAAGGCAAGATCCTGCCTTGGGGTCTGTCACATGGACTTCAAAGGTGAACATCAGCTTGAACTGCAATAACACCCAAAGGAAGAAGGGACCTGGCAGATGTAGTGGGGTGCCAGTTTAGAAGTCATCGACTGTCACTCATACATTCATTCTATAAACTTGCAATCATCAAGCACTCAGCTAGTTTCTGGAAAGACAGAGGAAGGAGTGTGCCTGGGCTGGAGAGCTAAATGAGCAATTATGGTATGATGCGGTATGGGCAGAGCACAGGATGGATGGAACCCAGAGAAGGAGCTGGAATTCTGCCTGGGGAAGGCTGTGTGGAGGAGGGAAAGTTCCAGCCATCCAGTTGGATAATTAGGAGGAGAGCTCTCCATCCCCCAAAACCAAGTTGAGCAGGCCTTGAAAATGCATCCCAAAAGGAAGAGCTAAAAGGACTTTGTCCATAAAGATGCTACAGCCACTGGGGCAGGGGGGCAGGTGAACAGGATTACCGTTTCCAAGTCTTGAAGGACTGGCAGAGGCAGAAGGAACAGACTAGTGTGAAGTCACCCAGCAGGTAGGTCTAGGCCCAATGAACAAAGAGCTAGAAAGAGAAGGATCCAGACTCAAAAAAGTCCTAAGAGAGAACTAATCAAGATGGGACAGTCCTGCTGTGATGTGGCAATCCCTCGTCACTGGAAGTGTGCAGGTGGGAACCGAATGGGCCCTTGATGTTGATTCTGCAGAAGGGAGTAACACATCAAATTGGGAAGAGGGGACTGAATCAGATGACCATTACATTCTCTTCAGTGGCTCTTCCAGTCAAGCTGTTACTTGACTTTAAACTTTCTGTTTTAGGAGAAGAAAGGACACAAAATTCTAGTCTGAGATCTTGTACACTGAGCAAGCCTTCTACTTAGCTAAGCAAGACCCACCCACTAATCCTTTAGGATGTACCTTGGTTTATACCTGGGCTTTCTTCCCCTGAGCTCATCTGGCTTTCGAGCATTTGGCTGCAGAACCTTTGGCTCAGTCTCTGTGAGACGGGGCAGTGTCAGAAATACTGAGATGTACAAGTGGGGTTCATTAGTACAGATGCCAGAACCAACCTGTTTCTGATGGGGTCCTGTTTGGGTGAGGCAAGGAAAATTCTGCCTGTAGAATCCCTATAGGCCCGGAACAAGAGAGACTAGCAGGGATCATCGAGGATGGGGAACGGCCTGGAGACCATCCTGAAGCAGGCCTGTTTGGTGTTGTTTTGGAGCTAGAACTAGGACCAGAAGGAGGCAGGTTCCTGCTCAGACCTTCCCACCATCCTCAGAGGACAATGAACAAAAGCCCTCAGGATGCTGTCACAGTGATTTTACCTCTGCTAAGCGGTTGGCACTCAGTATGCTGATACCCTTGTCACCACTTTTTAGAGACAGGGTCCTGCTCTGTTGCCCAGGCTAGAGTGCAATGGCCTAATCATAGCTCACTGCAGCCTCAAACTTCTGGGTTCCAGCGATTCTCCCACCTTAGCCTCAAAGGTAGCTGGGAATGCAGCAGACACCACCATGCCTGGCTCATTTTTTAATTTTTCGCAGAGATGGGGTCTTGCTGCATTGCCTAGGCTGGTTTCAAATTCATGCCTCCAGGTGATCCTCCTACCCCAGCATCCCAAATTGCGGTGGTTACTGGCAGGAGCCATTGCACCCAGCCAGATCCTATGATTCTAATTGTGCCTTCTCTAAACTACTTAGCTGTTTTGTAACTGCAAAGCCTTTCATTGAATAATCTATCAGAGTCAGAACTAAAATTGTTGTGACGTTAGAGAATCAAAATGATTTAAGAACAATCCATTTGAGCCTTTGCATTGTACGATAAAAAATAGAGGATCAGAGAGGTTATGTAACTTACCTGAGATCACACAGTAATTCAAGGCAGAGCCAGGACTAGGCTTAGGTCAGGGCTTATTCTGCTTTGTTCTGCTGACTTTTCCCTGGACTTTAGCTCCAGTGTAGTGGAAAGGCCTTGAGTACCAGGAATGCTGCAGCAGAGGACCCATCAGCTGTCCTGGATCCCAGCAAGTGGCTCTCCATTAGCAGTGGTTAATTTCAGCAAATTCTCTGTGATAAGTCATTTTACAAAAAAAGAAAACATAATAATGCTTTCGCTTAGACCCTTTGGTGTAATTTCCTCTCCTTTCTTGTCTCTCCTTCTTGTCCTCCTCATCCCGGTTCTCACCTTCCCTGCTCCCCCTCCTCTCCCTTCAACCCTCCCCGTCTGAGCAGCTTTGATTTGGTCACAAATGGCGGCATCTCCATCATCCTGCGGTTCGAGCGGGCCCCTTTCATCACGCAGGAGCACACCCTCTGGCTGCCGTGGGATCGCTTCTTTGTCATGGAAACCATCATCATGCGACATGAGGAGAACGAGATCCCCAGCTGCGACCTGAGCACCTTCGCCCGCCCCAACCCTGTGGTCTCTCCATCCCCCCTGACGTCCTTCGCCAGCTCCTGTGCCGAGAAAGGCCCCATCGTGCCAGAAATTCAGGTACCAGCCTTCCTGACTGCATCTCACCAGGCTTTCATTTCACCTGGGGGTGGAGGAGGCTCTCAGAGATAGTGGAAAGAGACCACACCTCTGTGGGACCTGGGTCAGACCCTTCAGCCCGCCTTGTGTCCAGCCACCAAATCTTATAGCGGGCGTGACATCAGGATGTGAGGACACCTGAAACACGGAGCCCCAGGAAACCACCTGGCACCCTCCAGCTGATGATAAATTCCCTCCCCCTTCCCACTCTGCCATTCAGTTCACTTTCCCTTTCCTTTTCCTCAGCCTCTAGTGTCCCCTCTCTCGTTATTTCTGCTAAAATTACTTAAAATGATAGGTTCTACCACGAGGAATAGGCCAGAGGATCTCAAACAGTGAGCGTTATAATAAAAATTAAATGAGAAAAACGTGTGTGAGATGCTTAGCCCCTCATAAGTACTCGATGAATTATAGCTCTTAGTAAGACTATTGAACACGAGCTACCTTCCTGCCAATTAAGGATTATTGGGCTCAAATCTATACATGCAAGTGCTTTACTTAATTATCATTAAAGGGAAGTAATTGGGAAAGATTAAAGTAGTTTTTTTTGGTTCTTTGTTTTTTTGATCTAACAAAGCTCTACCAGTTAAATTTCCTCCACTGTCCCCAGCCCAATTTCTAATGGCAGAAACGAAGGCCTGAGGAAGAGGAGTGATGTCAGTGCAGAAGCCCAGGAGGAGCTTGGTCATCTGGCCTGCCTCATGACAACTTCCTGTTAATGGATTGCCGACGCTGGCAGAGCAGGAGTTGATACATTTATGTGTGTATATTCCATGCCTGGCTGAGCAAACACCTCTCTCCACGCGTACCCTGTTGAGTGGCTTCCAACACCAGCCCCCAAGAAGGAAATAGGACCATTTTGAAATTCTCAGTGCACTTGCAGGTTGAAACCTCTCTCCTTTTCAGAGATTCAGGGCCTGTACATGCAGTGTCTCAACTGCCAGGCTGACCTTTCTCATGAAATGCTTGTCAGTGGAGACAGAGCTTGCTGGAGAGATGTAATTTGTTACTCAGTCCTGGCTCAGCTGCTCAGCTCCAGCTAGACATTTTTCCCAGGAGCAGGGACTTTGGAACAAATGAGGGTAAAGTTTGCACCCTCCTAACAGGGCTTCCCGAGCTGGCTGCCTGCTTACTCAGTAGGGGCACAAACTCTACTTATTCTCAGATTTATGAAAAACACAAGAGCAAACTCATGGGTTTTTCCCAATACTATTGCTGGTTGGCCTTTGCAGGTGCTGGGAGATGTAAATTTTAAAGGGTACATTAGAGAAGGTAAATATTTATGAGAGCATCAGGATGGCACTGGCATCAGGAACCACAGGCCTGCCTGTGGTTCAGCAGGTGTAGAGCCTGCTTTGCCTAGAAGTTGTAAACTGTAATTTAGGAAGATTGCCTTGGTTGAGGCCTAATACCTGAATTTCCCATGTTCAAGACAGTGGGGCGAGGGTGAGGATTCATACCCTTCCATGAAATGGATGGAATGAAAAAGGCCCAGTTCCTCTGTGAACACAAGGGTAGAGTCATCATTGTCCCCTGAATAGATATGTTAGCCCCAAATGACCAAACATCCCTTTCTTGAAACAGAACTCAGAGCATGAAGCTGATAGAAGTTCTCCACTTTTGCCATGTCCCCTAGCGCCCCGGCATTCGTTTAAACTTCCCGTCCTAGAACTAAGCCCCTTGTGCCCAGTAGAGCTGCCTGCCCACCACCCTGTTCATCCAACACGGCACTGAAGCTGGGACCCAGTGTGCTTAGCAGTTGTGTGTGCAGGTCAGCCTCTCTCTGCAGGTCAGCCTGGCCAGTAGCCAGGCTGTGCTCCGAGCTCCGCATAATGACTGGTTTGGGCAACATCTCCTAGTATGTGTTATCTCCTCTAAGGAATGCCTCTTCCAACAGATCTTAACTTCAGCACAGTTCTGAGAGGGGCACCATCCTTCTTGCTTAGGCAGTTGTCCACATTCCTCCTGGTCCCCTGCTGCCAGCACACCGGTGTCCCCCGATAACACTCATTTGCTAGGCACTTTGCACACATGCGCGTACTCAAGCTTCATGCTAATCCAGTGAGGAAACTAAGACTCAAAGGTCTCCTGAGTTTTCTAGGACGCAGCTGGTGCACCAGGGGCTCCGTGATGCTAAGTAGTTCATGTGCTTTGTCTCATATGCTCCTCTCAGAAATGCAGCACAGTGAGCACCGTCCTCTCTCTGCACAGAGGAGGAGCCTGAGGTCCAGTGAAGTGAGGAGCCTTACGCAGGGTCATGCAACACGAGAGCTGCCTTCCGACCTGTCTCCCTCCTCCCCATCCTTTCTCTCATCTCTTTCGTGTCCCCCTCCCCCTCTGCTTTCTTGTCTCCTCTTTCTCTTTCTCATCCTCCCTCCTCTGCGCGCTCTCTGCCTCCTGAACACAGAGTCCGCGGGGCCCTGGCCAGCCTCCCACTCTGGGCTCGGTGCCCATCACTTGCCTCGCTCTGTCTCTGCTCCCAGGCTTTGCAGGAGGAGATCCCTATCTCTGGCTGCAAGATGAAGCTGAGCTACCTGAGCAGCAGGACCCCCGGCTACAAGTCTGTCTTGAGGATCAGCCTCACCCACCCCACCATCCCCTTCAACCTCATGAAGGTGCACCTCATGGTAGCCGTGGAGGGCCGCCTCTTCAGGAAGTGGTTTGCTGCAGCCCCAGACCTGTCCTATTACTTCATTTGGGACAAGACAGATGTCTACAACCAGAAGGTGTTCGGGCTCTCGGAAGCCTTCGGTAAGCCTCCCGGCTGAGGGACTCAGAGAGTACAACTGGAGGGAGGACTCTCTCCCCCTCCCTGGTTTCTTCATCTTCCCTTCCTCCTCTTAGACAAAATATAGCCAAGGCTTGTTTGGCCTCTAAGACTTCTCAGTGACCATCCCTGCCCTAAAAGATTGTCTGAAAGTCATGAAGGTGGAAATTTTGATCATTAAAATGAAGCTTTAAAACCAAAGTGGCCCTTGAAAAGCACTGTGGTGGGCTCAGCGCCTGTGGCTCAAGTGGCTAAGGTGCCAGCCACATACACCTAAGGTGGTGGGTTCAAATCCAGCCCGGGCCCACCAAACAACAGTGATGGCTGCAACCAAAAAATAGCCGGGCATTGTGGCAGGCGCCTGTGGTCCCAGCTACTTGGGAGGCTGAGACAGGAGACTTGCTTGAGCCCAGGAGCTGGAGGTTGCTGTGAGCTGTGATGCCACAGCACTCTACCCAGGGGGACAGCTTGAGGCTCTGTCTCAAAAAAAAGAAAAGAAAAGCACTGTGGTGGCATGTGATGGCTGCAAGAGGCTGTGCACTGCAAAGGCAGGGCCCTGGGAACATTGCCTGGCCATTTCACAGCCTTCCTGCCAGAACTTAACCATTAAAATAGGGAGCTGAAAAACAGTTCCTTCAAATTTTTTTTTTTTTTTGCATTTTTTGGCCAGGGCCAGGTTTGAACCCACCACCTCTGGTATATGGGGCCAGCTCCCACTCCTTTGAGGCACAGGCACTGCCCTTCCTTTAATTTTTTTGAGTTATAGGAGCTAAGATTCTTCCTTCGTCAGAAATGCTTTTTGGCCTCCTTACCTTACTTACAGAGAGGCTGGTCTCTGTTGCTGTTGTTGCTGTCTTTCTGTGAGATGAAACAGAGTTTGGCTATAGCCTCACCGAGAGTCCCAGGCTTGCTTGGACTTTGTGCTTGCAAGGGCTGACTGTACTCATTTGTGCTTCTGAATTAGTGCAGGGTCGCTAGAAGGGTTCTGAGCTGCGCTGTTAGCAGGGCTAATCCACCAAGCACTTAAGAGTAACAGCCGGCTCGGCGCCTGTGGCTCAAGTGGCTGAGGTGTCAGCCATATACACCTAAGGTGGTAGGTTCAAATCCAGCCCAGGCCTGCCAAACAACAATGACGGCCGCAACCAAAAAAAATAGCCGGGGACTGTGGCAGGTGCCTGTGGTCCCAGCTACTTGGGAGGCTGAAGCAGGAGACTCGCTTGAGCCCAGGAGTTGGAGGTTGCTGTGAGCTGTGATGCCACAGCACTCTACCCAGGGGGGACAGCTTGAGGCTTTGTCTCCAACAAAAAAAAAGAGTGAGAGCCCAGCAAATCTCTTCTCTTCTTGAGCCCCTTGCTCCAATTTTATGCCCTTTATTGATTCAGAAAAGGTAGAAAGAGGATGCAGAGAAGAATACTGTGTTTAGGAAAGAAGAGGAGGAGGAAGAGGAGAAAGGGAGGGAGGGATGGGGGAAGAAGAGAAAGAGGGAGGTTGGAAGGAAATAAAAGAACATCCACTGAGCCGCTGCTCTGAGCGCTGTGCCCCCCTGTACGTTAGCATCTCACTTAATCCTTACACCTGCGAGTCAGAAATTGCTAGCCCCAAATTCTGCATGAGGAAGCTGAAGCTCAGAGAAGGGAGGGGACCTCCCAAGGATGTATAACTAGGAGGAAACAGAGCTGGATTTATCCCAGATCTTTCCTATAGATTTGCATTCCCCCCACCCCATAAGGGCACATTCAGAGCCAAGATGCCCTCTGTGGCTATTCATGATCCCTTCTGTAGTTCCAGCCACTTCTATCATCTCTTTTAAAAAATGAGGCCTCATAACCTCTTCAGATAAAATGAGCATATTTAGTGTCCACCAGTCAGTTAGAAAGGGAAGGAAGGGTCTGGGCTGGATCTCTGCCCTGAGATCACAGGTGACTAGCAGGAGGCATAGTGGCTGCTAAAGGAGCTCAAGGTCATAGGGAAGAGGTCACAGGGACATCTTCTGGCCTGTTCTCCTACTGCCACAGATGGAAAGGAAACTTTAAGGGGCTTCCCGGCTGTTCATTCCTGTCTTGAACATGTGGTAGGGTATTGTCCACTGGAAAAACAGCACCAGCACAGAAAGAAGCTTGGAGGAAATGGCATTCCTGTCTCTGTAGGTTCTTTCCATAAATGTGTTACACAACTTTTTACAAACCCAGGCTCAAACCTACCATGTTTAGCTTTCATCCCAATGACCTTCTAAGGGGGCCTGAATTCATGAAACAAAAGTGAAACCAGGAGATTTTCAAGCTTTGAAAACTCAAAGCAGGGCGGTGCCTGTGGCTCAGTGGTTGGGCACCAGGCCCATATACCAAGGGTGGTGGGTTTGAACCCGGCCCCAGCCAAACTGCAACAAAAAAATAGTCAGGCATTGTGGCAGGCGCCTGTAGTCCCAGCTACTCAGGAGGCTGAGGCAAGAGAATCACCTAAGCCCAAGAGCTGGAGGTTGCTGTGAGCGGTGATGCCACGGCACAAGAGCTGGAGGTTGCTATGAGCTGTGACGCCACGGCACAGAGCTGGAGATTACTGTGAGCTGTGACACCACAGCACTCTACCAAGGGTGACAAAGTGAGGCTCTGTCTCTAAAAAATAAATAAATGAAAAAAAGAAAGAAAACTCAAAGCAATTTCTAGCTTTAAAAGTATCCCAACTGAGCACCTTTTCTGTGTGTTGTTATATAAGTGATTTTATATTTTTTCTTTATAAAAGAAAAACACCATGTTTATTAATAAAAGTTTAAAAATTGAACAGAAATAAAAAAAGGTCATATGTAATCGTGTAAGAAATGCAACTATTCATTGACATTTCAATTTGTTTTGTTATTTCACATGTAGTTTTTAAAATGCAGATTATTGTATAAGCCAGTTTTTCAACTGAGCATTATTCCATAACATTTTCCGTGTCCCTACTTGGCCTTCATAACCGTAATTCATAACCATAATTTCCATTGTGGTTCTATAATGTTCTTGAAGTGGGCACACTTGCCTAAAACCTTTAGGTTACTTCTAATTTTCTGCTATTGTAAATAATGCTGCATTGAAGTCTTTTGTATATGAAATATTTTCTATACTAAAGATTATTTCCCTGGAATTGACTTACCTGGGTCCTTTAAAGTATCTGAAAGTATTTGTTTAATGTTTTCCAAGAATGTACAATTACTCTTCAGAAAAAAGCAAAGGTTACTAAGGCTCATGGTTTGCCACTTAGAAATTTTTTTCCCTTTTCTATAAAAGACAAGGCAGGGGTCTTGCCTGCAGGTCTAAAAACCAAAGAGTAGAGAACTCACTTACTCATTTTGCTCCTCTTGTGACCTGCAGTTTCCGTGGGTTATGAGTATGAATCCTGCCCAGACCTGATCCTATGGGAAAAAAGAACAGCAGTACTGCAGGGCTATGAAATCGATGCATCCAAGCTCGGAGGATGGAGCCTAGACAAACATCATGCCCTCAACATTCAAAGTGGTGAGTGAATAATGGGATGCCGTGTGCCAGGCCAGGGTAGGACCTTGGCTCACATCACTGAATGCCCTGTCAAAGAACAAATGCATTCCTCGAGGCCCATAGTCCCCTGTGTGATCCGTCAGAAGGCTCAGTCAACAAATGCTGCTTGCACAGCTGCTCTGAGCCTGTCACTGTGCTGGCCACCGGGAATGCAGAAATGAAAGGCCTTGAGACTTTACCTGGTTGGAGACTAATAAAAATGCTCTGCCATGGACCATGACATCACAGAGGGACACTGTGGGGCCTAAAAGAGGAGCACCTCCCTCAGCCTCTTGGTTCATCAAGGCGTCACTCCCCCAAGAACTCTGGAACTGAGTCTCAAAGTGCCTGTAGGACTAGCCCTGTGTATCAAGTAGGGAGAACCTTCTAGGCAGAGGGTACAGTACGTACCAAAGCACTGAAACCTAAAAGAAGAGTGGAGAGAAGTTTCCCTGTGATTTGAGCAGAGGCTGAGTTGAAGGAACAGCCAAAGCTGGGGCATGAGCAGCTGGAGTCCAGGGTAAGCAGATTAGGACTGTGTACTTCCTCCAGAGGCTTAAAGCACGTGAGCAACGTGATCAGATCGATGACTCACTCTGACCATGACCCAGGATGGGACAGCCCAATACGGTCATGTTGTCAAATATCTCCTACCTAATCCCAAAACGCATGTGTCAAAGCCGCAGCATATTTCAGGGGGGGAAATTCGTATACTAATTCCAAAACGTATGACAGAATAAAGATTTGTAAATAGCTAAAGCAGTCTTTAAAATAAGAGCAAAGAAAAGCTCACCAGATATTACGCTATCTTGGGAAAACCATATTGTCTATTCCCTGTGGTGCTGGCACAAGGACAGGTAAATATCGCAGGGATTAGGACATGGAGCTTAGAAATTGACCTGTAAGCTGTAATTAAAAGTAGGTTTGGCTCTGAGGATTAGAAAATCCAATATGATAGAATTATAGACAAGTAAAGTGTGTCTCTCACTCACCTGCAAGTCTGGAGGTAGCTCATCCTGGGCCGCAGGTCAGAAGCGAGGCTCCCTTTGTCCTTGCCCAACTTGGGCCTTCGTGCCCAAGGTCATGGTCCACAGTGACCACGTCAGCCCACCAGGAGGAGGAAAAGGCAAAGAGTAAGTCCTTTCCATCGTGAAGATGTCTTCCAGCAGCTTCCCACACCACTTCTACTTACGCACCACCGACCAGAAGAACTTAGTCACGGGCGTAGCTGCCCACAGGGCTGGAGATCGTAGTCTGTTCTGGGTAGTCACGTGCTCAGCTAAATATCAGAGGTTCCCTCACTGCAGAAAAAAGCAAGCGGGGATGGGATGGCTATCGGTGGGTGAGTAGGAGTTTCTGCCACACACCGTGTATATATAGGAACTTGGTGCACGGTAGAGGTAGCATCACGTATCAGCACAGAGTGGATGGATGTTTTAGAAACTGGTTTTGGGAAAATTGGCTCAATATGTGGAGACCAATTGAATGAAGTCCCCGCTTCACACTGTATACAAAATAAATTGAGATGTTTTCTTAAACATCTAAATGTGAAACATAACACCTTTGAATTGATAAAAGATACTATGGAAGAGTGCCTTTAAAATCTCAGGGAAGTATTTCCTCAAGGCTAAGAAAAGCACAAACTTTAATATGGAAAAGTGGCTGATTGGACTACATAAAAATTAACTCTGTCCATTCACTAAAGGACAGCTTTGACAAAATAAAGAGGTGAGAGCTAGGGGGAGATTCTTATGACCTATAAAAGCCAAAGCCCGTGCAGGTTTCAGCGTGGAAGCAGAGAGGCGGGAGGCAGAGGGTGCCGTGACCGTATGCAGCTGGCAGGACGGTCTGGGCTGAAAGCAAGCAGCGCACTCTGGGACAAAGTTTACAAGTCCCTGAGGTCCCTCCCTCATTTTGCTTGTGGGGAACCCAAGGCCCAAGGGCAATTAAAGCAGTGTAGAGACCTCTACCAGACCTGGGATCTGCCTGTCCATTAAAAACCCGTCTCGACTCTGCCTGGACAAGAAGAAACTGTGAGCTGCACTCATTCGTTTCTGTGAACATGTGCTGGTGTCTGCTCTGTGGCAGGTTCTGTGCTAGGCACTAGGGAGACAGGAAGGATAAAGACACAGGCTCCACACTTGATATGGTAGCAATTAAAAAACAAGGAGGTGCCGTAAAGAATTCATGCTGTCCACATACACCTAAGGTGGCGAGTTCGAATCCCCAGCCCGGGCCCACCAAACAACAATGATGGCTGCAACCAAAAAATAGCCGGGCGTTGTGGCGGGCGCCTGTAGTCCCAGCTACTTGGGAGGCTGAGGCAGGAGACTCACTTGAGCCCAGGAGTTGGAGGTTGCTGTGAGTGTGATGCCATGGCACTCTACCCAGGGGGGATAGCTTGAGGCTCCGTCTCAAAAAAAAAAAGAAGTCATGCTGTAACGGGGCTTGTGGACTGGGTGTGTGAGACACGGCGGCCCCACCGGGAGGCAGTGTGCTGCGGTGATTATAAGCCCAGCTTGGCAGCTCTTCTGCTCGTAGTCTCTGTGGCCTGGGGAAGCCATCTAGCTGCTCCCCTGTTATAACAGGGATGACAACAGTGCCTGCCTTGCAGACTTGTGGTGAGAATGGAATCAGCAAATCTCTATGGCCTATCTGGGACACTCTGGGTGTCACTGTGGGCATGAGGTACAGCCTTGGGGTATGGGCCTGGAAATGGTTGGAGGAGACTTTGCAGGCATTGAAAAATCAAGATGACTCTGTGGCCCACCACAGGAAGGAAGACCTATGTCTGCTCCACAGGTGATCCTGTTCTATTCTTATCCCAGGCATCCTGCACAAAGGGAACGGGGAGAACCAGTTTGTGTCGCAGCAGCCCCCCATCATCGGGAGTGTCATGGGCAATGGGCGCCGGAGAAGCATCTCTTGCCCCAGCTGCAATGGCCTTGCTGATGGCAACAAGCTCCTGGCTCCAGTGGCCCTCACCTGTGGCTCTGACGGGAGCCTCTATGTGGGTGATTTCAACTATATCCGAAGGATCTTCCCTTCTGGGAATGTCACCAACATCCTGGAATTGAGGTGTGTACAGTGTTGCCATCCTGTGGGCCCCTCTGCATCGTGCACGGAGCCTCACCTCTCAGACTGCACTTCCCCCTTCCCAGCCCACTGCAATGAAGACAAGCTAGTCCTGGGATGGTGAGATGTCCCCAGTAGCCAGATGACATAGAAGGGTGCTAGCAGCCAAAATTAGACTCTTAGGAAACTTCTTTTTGTCTTCTTGCACTAAACTGATGAGAATTAGTCACATGAATCTTTTGTTGTTGTTGTTGTTTTTGAAGTTTTTGGCCGGTGCCGGGTTTGAACTCACCACATTGGGGCTGGCGCCCTATTTCTTTGAGCTACAGGCGCTGCCCCCACATAAGTCTTTTTTAAGAACAAGGGAGGCATAACGGACAAGGCCCCCCATGGCAGTGTTGCCAAGTTTGGGCTATTAACACTCATCAAAGTTGGGAACGTTCCCCCTCAACTGACCAGCAGGGAGATGAGCCCAGGGTGGGCAGCACGTCTCTGCCCCTAGAGAGCTGCAGAATGAGTGGTGTCAGCCTTTCCCCATCCTGACCTTGAGTGATGAGGTACAGCTACACTTAGAGCTCAGGGAAGCACCAGATATGTTGGATTTTCTGTATCCCTCCCTAAGTCATATGATTTTACAGTCAGAGCACTGTCATAGGGTAGGCTGTGGGGTCACAGAGAAACTGTGCTTTAGAGACAGCACAGTCCCACTCTCCCTTCCACCCAGTTCCACCACAAGCACTTTAGGAAATGGGATCCACCTGCCTCCTGGGCTCAGGTCTATGTGAGCAGGACAGACCCTTGAACTGGAAAGTCTTTCCCCAAAGTGGGCAGGGGAAAAGGAAATTCACTTTGTTGGGCTCCTGCTGTTTGCCAAGTATAACAATTCCTTGGGGCATTTATGATTATCTCCCTGTAATAAATGAGAAGTTGGAGGCTCAGCAGTTTAAAGAACCTGTTCAGGCTCAGCGCCCATAGCACAGTGGTTACGGTGCCAGCCACATATACCGAGGCTGACAAGGTCGAACCCGGCCCAGGCTAACTGCAACAGAACAATAGCCGGGCACTGTGGTGGGCACCTGTGGTCCCAGCTACTTGGGAGGCTGAGGCAAGAGAATCACTTAAGCCCAGGAGTTTGAGAGCTGTGACGCCACGGCACTCTACCAAGGGTGACATAGTGAGACTCTGTCTCAAAAAAAAAGAAAAGAACTTGTTCAAGATCCAGCTTTTAGAATGATGGACCCAAATTCAGAAAGCCATTCGGCTCGGCGCCTGTGGCTCAAGTGGCTAAGGCCACATATACCTAAGGTGGCGGGTTCGAATCCCCAGCCCGGGCCCGCCAAACAACAATGATGGCTGCAACCAAAAAATGGCCAGGTGTTGTGGCGGGCACCTGTGGTCCCAGCTACTTGGGAGGCGGAAGCAGGAGACTCGCTTGAGCCCAGGAGTTGGAGGTTGCTGTGAGCGTGATGCCATGGCACTCTACCCAGGGGGATGGCTTGAGGCTTCGTCTCAAAAAAAAAAAAAAAAGAAAGAAAGCCATTCCACAGCTCTGCCTGGCCAAAGAATCATCCCCTGCAACTTAGTACCTCGATGAGATACTCCCTGGAGCTAAGTCCCCACTGAAAGCATCTCCCCCTGCTGGGTACACGTGAAAGGTGGGTAAGGCTCACTCACTGCCCAACCTCCATCATGGCCCTAAAAAGAAGTCTTGGTATCAGCCCATGCTCAGAGGAACATAATGTGGGCTCACAGGCGATCAGATGTCAGGCTGCGTGAGAATCAGGCAACCCGTGGAATATTCTCCGCCTTTCTTCTCTATTCTGAGTTTGACTGGCACAGACTTGTGTGGAGGAAGAAGCCCCTTGAGTGTATTGGCTTCAGTCAGCTGCATATGCCTGCTATGATGAGAAAGCCTTGGGCTAGGGTCAGATCACCTTGGCAGAGAAGCTATACAACTTTAGACAAGTCACTTAACCTCTCTGGGCCTCCATTTTCACATCTTTCAAATAAGAAATCGCATTTTCCCTGCCTCCCTCCCACAGCTGTTGGGAAGATCATGTGAGACAGTGGGCAGGGAAGGGAGAAATGAAATTTAGGAAAAAAAAATAGATTTAACAGTAAATTATCATTTTGACATATTTTCTCCCAGTCTTTTTTTCCCCCAGGCCTGGTACTCTGAGTCACACCCTCCCTTCTCATTATAGCACATCCTCAACTCCATATCCCATTATGAGGAGGCCCTTGGGAGGCCACCCAGGTCTGGATAACTCGTTGTAAGGAGGGGGGCATCCAGATAGAGACACAGAGCAGCGAGCATATGTATCTCTGGGTGTGTGTCTGTCCAGGAAGGAAAATCCACTGTTCCCATCTCTGACTTAGCCTGTGTTAAAGCAGCAGAATGTGTCAACCTAGTCCTCTTTCCCCCAAAGTCAGCAGTAGCGGTGCAGGTGAAACCATGCCTCTTCTGTGATATGTAGCTGCTTGTAAGTGAACTCACTGACAAGTAATATCCAATAGAAAATACATCAGTGTCATACTGCTAAGTCTTTATTTATTATGGTATTGTACAGTACCGTTGCTGTCAAGTTTTCAGGCTGCTAATAATGCTTCTAACCCTGCTGCTAACACCTCATTCTTTCTTCTATTCCCTGCTCTCCTGTCTTCTGTCAGAAATAAAGATTTCAAACATAGGTAAGACAACCAGTGGAGAATCTTCCCGACTCTCCCCTGCCTCGTTGCATGCTGTATGATAAGCTGCATGTGTCAATTTCAGCGGTTCCGTGGAAAATAATCCTGTGTGATTGGAACTGATTGGGGGTAATCAGTTGCGATGAGAGGAATTCATCAATGATGGTTGGGGGGTGGGGGGGTGGCGAGAGCCTGAATTCCTTAAATCTGTAGCAAAATGAGGCAGCTTGTTTGGTAGTCTGCAGACATGACGGACCGAAGGACCAGGAGAAGGAATTGAAGCCTTGCGATAGTAATGTGAATGCCACAGTCTGCTTATCCTTAGAATAAATGAGAATGTCATCCCTCCTGTGCTGAATGACTGTGACAGTCATGACGGGAAGTCCTGAGAACATCTTGATCAGGTGAAGAATCTGGAAGGAGGCAGAGTTCACATCTGCCCTCCGGGGACATTCCCAAGGTCTCAGCTTTGGGATGCCAGGCGACCCCACCAAGAGGTTTGCCAGCAAGGACAGAACAGCCCACAGAGGCTGCCTGTGGAGAGCAATCCCCAGATAGGAACTCTGCTGCAGAGTGCATTTGTCACACAGGCTCACTGCGACACGCAGCCTGCAGAAGCAGGTCTAGGCAGACAGATGAGAGAAAGGTCTGCCTGTCAGCAGCACTTGTCACTGTGGCACTCAGCTGACTTCTGAGCAGCGGTCACCCCAGAGCCCCCCCAACCTCATACACTTCAGGATGACTTGAAAAGTAACAGTGGACAGACAGGGTTGCATGGCCACAGAAGTGGCTCTCGGTTATCCACATGTGCCTCACATCAAAGTGGCATCTGCAGTGGTGCTAAGGTGGGATGAAAGAAGGTCTTAGGGATGGTGGAAAAGTCAGACCCAAAATCCAGTGACAATTACATCTATTGCTATGTATGTAGATATATCATTCATATAATAATCCTACATCTTATTGCAAGGTAATAATACTTGACCTATATAGAGCATTTCCTACGTAGCAGAGAGAGGGTTATGTGATTTACACGGATTGTAGCATTTTTTTAATAACCAAACCACCCTGTGAGGTACCTACCCATGATCACATCCGACTTACAGATGAGAAAACTGAAGCTTCTCAGTTGTGTGGCCTTGAAAAAATTACTTCATCTCTCTGAGCTTTAGTTTTTAACATGAGGTTGATAAAACCTTTCTTGGAGCATTATTATAAGGCTCAGAGAGGGTGTTTGTGAGGGTTTGACATTTCAGATACTAGGAGGAGCTCCAGAAATGGTGGTAATAGTGGCGGTGGCAGTGGTAGTAATAGCAATACATGCTGTGTGTCATTTACACTATTGTCATTTGTTATCATAACAACAATTATTGTAAGATGATGGTTATGATGCCTCTATCTTTCCCCCCAAAAGAAACTGAGTCCTTTCACATCCAAAGACACACATTTTAGATTAAATAGACATTGGTAACAAAAGAAAAAAGGAGGAAGCACATATATGTGATTGTACATCAGATTAGCCTCTGATCTGACAGCCAGAGTAAATAGGAAAATGATTATTTTCATAGTTTACATTATCAGAAATGGGAAATACGCCCACTGCTCAGAGGAGAAATATTTTTCCTGACACTGAAATCTGAAAGATTTGCAAGGAGATTTGTGTGGATGGTACTGAACCACACTCATAGGTGCCAATTTTAGTTAAACAGAAAACACCGAAGCACACGTGAAGATATTGCATTAAAACCTAGCATTGAACATTGAGACATTCCATCAGGGATGGTGGCTGCTTGGGACCAGCTATGCCACAGAGGGACACGGCTGGGAAGTGACAGGTGGCGGGGGCTCCCCTGCTGTGCATTCATCATGCAGCCTCAGGCTGGGCACCTAGCTTTCCTGGTTCCTAGTCGCACCATCTCTAAATCGAAAGAGTTCTGGTTTGGGAACCTTTTATTTCTAATGTTCAGTGACCTTTTGATACATTTCACAGGATGATTTCAAAGCCAGCTTCCTGCCCTCTCTCAATTCATTGTTTTCTTGGGTGCTAAAAACTGTTTCTAAAGTGAGCCAAAGTAGAAGAGAAAAAAAGTTGCTTTCTGCCTTCCAGTTTTCTAAAAGCAATTAGGAGACAGAAGGAAACCTGGCTGGGTTCCAGCTCTAGTTTAACTGTCACCTGTATATTGGCAAATTCCTTCCTCTCTCGGGGCCCCAGTGTCCCCGTTAGTCAGTGTTAAAGGCTGTTTAAAGAAATCCTAGAATGTTGTCCTCTTCATCCATTCATGGTCTCAGCAGCTCCAGTAACAGTATCTGGCCCCGCAACTGGTGACTTCAGCCTGTGCTGTGCTCCCCCAGGGCAGGCCCATCTCTGCCTTTGCCTTCTTAGCCTCAGGCCAGCACTCCACATGGCGTGCTCTGTACAGAGACCCCAAATCCACTGCGCATTTTCCCCTCTGGTCCCCTCAGGAAACAAGCATCCTTGCCTCTTCCCAGATCTCTTCCCCAGTGTCATGGAGGGATGTTAGAAGCCTTTCCTTCAGAAGCACATTTGAACACAAGAGCATTTAACTGCCCCAGAAAAAAGGTTGGATGGGACAATATTAAGTCTCATATACTTAACTTTTCTATTATGCACAAAATATTCTGGAGGTTTCTTAAGGTGACTGACTTTGCTTCAAAGCTACCATTTTTCAGCCATTATATTTTTTAATGGAACGGGCACTATGCTCAGGGATTTATGTTCTTCATGCAATTTTGTCCTCAAAGTAACCCTTTGAAGTAAGTGTGATTATCTCCATTTCTTGGAAGAAAAAACTGAGGCTCAGAGTAATAAGGCAATCTTCCCGAGATCACTTAACCAAGTAGGTGTAAGAACTGGTATTTGAACCCTTATCTGTGTGGCTCCCACACCCAAGCTCTTCCTACTAGTTCTGATCCTTCCAGGGCCGCCACTCAGTATGGTTGAAGGACACTCCTTTGCATGAGGCAGTTCAATTCTCATTGAAACCACCTCTTATCCCAAGAGACTTCTGGGATTTCAGCTCCTACTGGGAATCTCCCTGCACCATCTAGAAAGAAGGTAGAGTGAAGCTTGCTTTAGCCCATTAACCTCATGAATGGAACCCTGAAGGCCTCTAGATTCTGTGTCATTTCCAAAGGGACCAAGGTCATTTCAGGGACTGTAAAAGAATATGGGTCCTCAAGGATTTCTATGGAAAACTCTAGAAATAGAGCTGTGATGCTACTCTGTGCCCACCCCCGCCCCGTTCAGGGTACTAGGAAATGGATCAGACACGGTCCCTATCCTAGAAATGCTCCCTGTCCACACAACCAGGCCCCAGGTCTCAGCCGTAGGCCACCTTCCATCTCATGCCCTGAAAGCATTTATGACTTGCAGAGTATTCTAAGGCCTTGCTCTCCAGAGTACAGACAAGCAGAGTTGGCAATCCCTAAGAGCGCATTAGAAATGCAGGCTCTCAAGTTCTGTACGCTGGAACTACTGAAGCCTGCATTTTAGCAAAGTCTCCAGGTGGTTCATATGCACATTCAAGTTTGAAAAGCACAGCTTTAAAGCTGTGATTTCCAAATCTGACTGTACTTCCAAGTTATCTACAGAGATCTCAAAGGCACAGGTGTCCAGGCCCTTCAATACTTACAGTTAATGCGTTTCTTTTAACCTCTCCAGGTGATTCTGACGTGTAGCCACGCTTGAGAATCATCACCCTAAGACTGTTAGCACTGCATGCATATCCTATATATACCCCCAGCCGGGGAGACTGGTACACATGCATCCAAAAACTGATCAGAACTTTCTGGAGGACTTGATCTGCATCAGCCCAGTATGAGTCACCGGGATTCAAAGTCAGTCCCTGCCCTTGAGGATTTCAGATTTCATTGAGGAGATAGATAACAGAAAAGTGTCTTAAGGACTACAGATATTGAAAATAGAAACTTCTTAGGTTCTAGCAGAGACACAACCAAGGGAGTGGCCAGTTCTGCTAGCCAGGAAGAAGTGGGGGTCCAGGAATGGTATCACAGATGAGGTGATCCTGGAGCTGCGTCTCAGGAGATGAGCAGGTGCCCTCAGCAGCAGTGTGGAGAAGCAGAAAGAACACAGACGTCAAAGTGGAGCGGATCTGGGTCCAATTCCATCCTGCTACGTAGGAGTATGTGGTCCTAGTCTAGTCACTTCTCCTCTCCTAGTCTCAGTTTTCCGAGATATAGTGAGGAAAGGTACCTTCCTTGTCTGGTAGTTGTGAGGACAATGAGGTCACATGTGCCAAGTGTTAGCACAATGTCCAGGACAGAATCAATAGCCATGGTGGTAATGGGTGTGTTTGTATCAGTGGCAGTTGTCCCTGCAGCTCTGTTCTGCCCAGTGATGCCACTGCAGCCTGGTGGAGGTCTGGACAGATGTCCTGGACTCAGCTCCCAGCAGTAGGTGGCATGAGGAAGAAGTGAGCGAGCTGAAGAATGTTCAAAGAACTGCACAGACTAGAAAGGGCTGTTGAGGTGTATAACTTCATTTGCTCCTAATGATAATCCTGTGAGTATAGCAGACAAGGAGCTTAGAAGGTTGACCGCTGAGGGACCTACAACTTGAACTATTTAGATGACTTGGTCTAATTGGAACAAGTTCAAAGCTAGTCCTTCCTTCCCTTCCCTTACACTTAACTGACCAGCAGACCTCAAATCTGTCCTTGGGTACAAAAGATGCAGCCAAACATCTTATAGACTAGGAGAATCCTGCCCACGACACCCACCCCTGGAATTTACTGACCTGAGAAATTCCACATGAGTGACACTTCTCTGGGCCAGTGCAGGGAGACATGAACTGGAAATTCAGGGGACTAATCTAAGTGGACAGGCCCCTCCCTCACTATACCCCCTCGGGGACCATTTTCTGCCAAGGTAGATAGCACCAGTTTATCATGAGTGATGGACAAAGAAATGAAGTGAGCGCCCCACCTCCCAGCTGTCATCGGGAAAGCAGAAAGATCAAGGATGCCCTCACACTACACAGCAGGATCTAAGGTCACTGCATTTAATTCAGCCAGAATCAGCGTTATCTGGGAAGATTAAATCTGTGCTACATTATAGGGTAAGTCACAGGGAACATTTCAAGATAAACAGAGTATGTCCTCTTACCACCACCCCCAAAAGAGAAGTAAAAGAAAAGCAAAGTAATTTGGGTGAAAATACCACATAAAGAATCTAAAAACAGAGACTCCATCTATTTAAAATAAGTGGCTACAACGGACTGGACAGCACTAAGCTGAACACTGGCAAAACAAAAATCCTTTCGCTTCCTGTCATTATTGACAGCTCGATTTGGGAGGCACACACAAACATAAACAGCCACAGCCTCATGCTAATCCAGATATGAACAGACGTGGGTCTCTGTGCACGGGAAAGAGAGGATGGAGAAGGTTTGCCAGAATAGGTACCACTGGGCTGACAGGCAGGAGTGAGTAGGAAAGGGAAGCTGGGGAGACATTCTGCACAGCAGGAGTGGCAGGTGCCATTGCAGGGACAGGAGGTCAGTGTGGCCGGAATGTAGGGCGACTATGAGGGAAGGGCAGCAGAGGGGCCAGGAGGAGAAAGCAGGGCCGCAGGACGAGTCTCGTGTGCTGCCCAGGTGGGGAGTCCCGGCACGGAAAGCACTGACATTGCAGGTTGGTGTTGGGGTTAGATGCGGAAAGATGGCTTGAAAAGGACCCCACTACAGGCAGAGAAACTTGCCCCTGGTTTGAGAAGGAAGTAATGGGGCAGTAGCATTAGGGCTACAGAGGGAGAAACTCATACCAGGTAGTTGAATTCAGGGAGAGGCTGGCCCTGGTAGAGGTGGCTAGTCCCCAAGTACACTGACCAAAGCAAGGGATGTTTACAATGACAAGCAGGGCGAGATTAAGACCCTCAGGGATATAGACACTGAAAAGATAATGGTTCCCCAGCTGTCACATGGAATTCAGAAAATATCAGCCTGTAAAATAAACTTTTGTTTTTCAAAGGGACCCCAAACTTACATGCCTGATAAATGCGAAATAGTTTCTTTCTAAACTTTTCTGATTCTCTTGCTTGTATCTTAAAGGGGTCTGCAGGGCCTGGCCTTGCTGGTGCTCTCAGCACTGCTTAGTCTGTCCCCGTCCTCTAGCACATGCAGTGTGAATGGCCAGGGCCAGGCCATCCAATCTGAACAGAGAAAGAGAAATAGAGAGAGAACCCTCTGAATCAGAGACTTTCCAGAGACATGGAGGGGCTACCCGTACAGACATGCACTTTGAGGGACTAATAAGGGATTGGCCAAGCACAGGAACTCCTAATGACCTTCCCAAGAGCAATGACTCCAACTTCAGTGCGCCCTGGACTCAGAGGAAGTCGTGTATCTGTGCCATGAGACAGCCCATTCAGGCTAAGGGATACGTATTCCACAGTCACCTCCAAATGCAAGAACATCTGCAATCGCTGATAATTAAAATAGCAATTATTATTTTTGAACACCTACTATGTGCCATGCACAGTGCTAAGTACTTTGCATTTATGATTTTATGTAGTTTCCCCAATACCCCAGCAAGATAGCTATTAACATCCCCATTTTGCAGTTGAAGAAAACTTGATATTCAGAAGGCCAGGTAACTTGCCCAAATTTCTGAACTGGCAAATTCTAGAACTAGACTTGGAACCCAAGCTGATCTGATTCCAAATCCTATGCATTTTCCCTGCCCTGTGGCTAAAGGTGGTACCCTGTCTAGTTAATGCCTCTCCCTTCTCTGTCCTCTGTTAGCATAGCCTAGTCTCTGTGACTGCCTTCCATAAACAGAATCATCACACTGTTCTTCTGTGGCGGTTAGTTGTCCTTGGGTTTGCAAATTCATTTCTATCTGGCTGCAGGAAGGAGATCCCTGGGCTCCTTATAAGTATAACATGAGTGTCAACAGAAGACAGTGCTGACACTGACTGGAAGTCACATCTAGCCAGGGTCTTATACATCAGTCGAGATGGGGGCCGGGGGGGGATGGGGGTTGCTATAAATACCCTGTGGAGAAAGGCTTGTTTTTGAACTCTTGAAGTGTTTTTTAAAGTCAAGTGCTCCATGTTTCTAACTCGAATTAATAGGCTGCCTATGTAAGCTTTGTGGATAAGCTTTATAAGAAGACGTGTATTTAGCACCTGATACGAGCATGACACTGGGCTGGTTTTGCATTAATTATGTTTTTGCACTAACAGTGGTTGAAAGAGATAGTTAGGCCAATTGCTAAGATAAGGAATATTGCAGAACTAGCCCCCCAAATGGGAACTTCATCCCTGTAAGATACTTGCTGGGATTCTAAAGGGCTGGTATTCAAGTTGTATGTCTCTAGCTACCTCCTAGGGAAGAAGAAAGTGCCCACAAATTGGCCGTGTCTTTGTTTTCTAGTCACAGTCCAGCACATAAGTACTACCTGACCACAGACCCCATGAGCGGGGCTGTCTTCCTTTCCGACACCAACAGCCGACGGGTCTTTAAGATCAAGTCCACCGTGGTGGTGAAGGATCTTGTCAAGAACTCCGAGGTGGTTGCGGGGACAGGTGACCAGTGCCTCCCCTTTGATGACACTCGCTGCGGGGATGGCGGGAAGGCCACAGAAGCCACCCTCACCAACCCCAGGGGTAAGGCCTTGCTTTATATACACTATCAATAACATTTATGGGGAGTATTTTCCATTTCCAAAATACATGTTTAACACTACAAAAATTTTCAGAAAATCCCAAGAAATATATGAAGGAAAATTAAAATGGGGAAGATTCCACCAGCAGGAAATCTTCCCAGGTAACATTTCCTGTATCCTTCATAGTCTTTTTACTGTTCATGTGTGTAATGTTCACTAAAAACAAACCAAATGAGATCACGGTAAACAAAGTGCTTCAGTAACCAGCTTTTTCGCCTACATGATGCATCATGAACATTTCTCCATATCATTAAATACATTTCTGTGTATTTATCTCAAATGACTATATAGTATTCCAGCAGACTGATGTCTCATAATTTATTTGTCAATCCCCTATAATTGGACATTTATGCTATATCTCATTTCCTGTTGTACAAGAACATCTTTGCATACGTTCATGTGTTGTAGGGTGGTTTAACTATAGGTTTCAATTTTGAGTCCTTCTAAAAATTGAACCTCTAAGTGCCCACGATCACAATTTTTCATTCACTTACTCCAAAAGTATTTATGGAGTACACACAGAACGTGGAATGCATAGATAAAAAGGTAAGTTCATTGTAGCAGAATAAATAAGACTTGGATGTGAATCACTCTGATACTGGAAAAAGAAAGAGGTGCTCCCCGAGATGCAGGAAGAGAGAATTGTGGGTGGGGATTTAGAACCAGGAGAGACCTCTGTGCCTTGCAGACTGGGAAGGCTTTGGGGGGAAGACGCCACCATGATAAACAGACGGTCTTCAGTGCAGCATCTGCCATGTTGCAGGCCGTACAGCCTGTGACGGACAGTGTCAGAGGCTCGGGGTCCTCGTTGTTAGATGGGAGTAACAATACTGTCTCTATCTTCTAGGATTGTTCTGATGGCCAAAATTAATATATTTCATACGATCTCCCATAAAGATGTTGTGATTGCATTATTAATCAGTGCCGTATTTTCTGGTCTAGAAGTAGCAAATCGAGGCAGTAAACTCCGGTGACATTAGGCTTTCAGATTCAGATTTTGTCATCGAGTAGCTGTGCGATTTGGGGGAGTTCCTTACCCTCGCTGAGCCTCATTTTCCTTATCTATGTAACAAGGAGATACCACACGTTGTAGTACAGACTGAATAGTCTTAGGAATGTGAGTGCTCAGTACACTCAGTACACTGTGAGCAAAAGCTCACAGTATTTATTCAATAGTTTCCCTCCTCATTACGATTTCCCTAATACCCAGAGAGCAGCTGGCAGTGGAAAGTACCAGGCTTGCACTTAGGCACCCTGCGTTACAGTTTCTCTGTGCCACTGGTGGGCTCTGGGACCTTCTCCTCTGGGCCTCTGGGCCTACACTGGTAAATGGCAAGTTGGGCTAAGTGATCCCCAAGACCTCCTTCAGCCACAACGTCCTTACTCGCTTAGATTTAAAACAGTTTTTTCTGGGAATCTTTGCTGTCTCTAGGCCTTTTTCATCTGCTCTGCACTCAAGTGTGTTCTGTCCCCACCCCACACTCACACGGACGTAGTGGCAGTGCGTTTGCCCCAAAGCCAGCCGTAATTAACGCAAATAGAAATGACAAAGGTGCCACAATAGGCAGACACTTTGTAGCAGGGAGGAAGAAAGATGTCCGTCTATTTAGCACAACAAAAGGAGAAAAACTTGAAGTAATTAATCACAGGACAGATCACTTCTATTAGCCTGTGCAGCCGACTTTGTAAACAAGAAGCCCGATTATTCATGGAGCACTCATCAGTTCTAGCAGATGGAAGGAAAGACAGGGCAGACAAGAAAACTCTTGTCTTGGTACTTAAAGAATGAAATTCATTTCCATTCTAGGCAGGACCACGCGAAAGGCTTCCCAGCCTTCTATGAGAAATCATTCTCTAGCCCATCCAGCCTAAGGAGTAGGTATGAGAAACAAGTGGTGCTCCACAGGCCCTGGGCGTCTAAACCACCTGCTGGCCACCCAGAGCTGTATGGGCCCCAGGGGCGAGGCCTGGAGACCCACCAAGTACTGTCCACTTTCTCATAATTACAGTAGTCATCAGTAATTATCAAGGGCTATTACGAGTCCCCACGTCACCAATGAGGACACTGAAATTTGAGGTGAAGTAATATGTCCAACGTAATACAGTCCAGTGTCTCTACCTAGGCAAAGCCTTTCTGTCCCCTTCTTTTTGTGTCTTCCCCAGAGGAAAAGGAACAGAACAAAAGTAACCAGCACCCCCTTTATTTCACCATGACCCTCCCAGGTCTGTTGCCTCACATGGTCCTGACTTACTCCCACCCTTCCCGTCTAAACCAGCTGCTTCTAGGGGGCGGGTCTCATCCACACCCCTGAACAGTTCCTGGCTTGGGAGGGGTACATCTGATTCTTTTGATGTTGAACCTGGGCAAATTGACATCACCAGGAACATTTCTAAACATGCATGGGTCCCGATCCCAGCCACATCGTGAGTTCATATTTCCAGGAGTGAGGTCCAGCAGGTATATATTTAAAAAAAAAACAAAAAACCTTCAGGTGCTTCTGATACACAACACTGGCTAAGAAGTGCTAATTGCATGAAGTGGTTCTCAGGCTTTGGTCTGTATCTTGTTATCAGCCAAGGTGCTTGTCCAAAATACTTCACTTGAGATATCTGAAGCCACTCGCTGCAGGGTACATCTCAGCAAAGCTCCCCAGGCGATGCTCACACACATCCAAGCGTGAGAAGAACAGATTCAGAACAGTCCCATTGTTAGACAGCTGAGAAAACAAATGCAGAGATGACCAGTGACTTGCCCAAGGTCACACAAGCTGGGCCAGGGGTAAAATTCTGATTCTTCTCTAACAGGAGCCTTCTTTTGGAATTAAATTCAGCAATATTCTTTCCACAAATCATTGGGTTCATTTTAGACTCTATACTTTTGTAACGACCAATAAAACTAAAATAATAAGAATAAAAAAACATAAAGGACAATTATCTTGAAAGAAAAGAAAAATTGTTATGAAAAACAGGATTTGATTATTATCATTACCAGGCGTTAGAAGCAGCTTATTTTAAATAATTCACAGTGTTAATATTGAAATAGATCCTTTATTCCACTCCTTCTAGAACTTGAAACACCCCCTCCCCCAGAAGTTCTGAATCTAGTTTTAGTGGATGGTTGAGGTGATTGTTTAGTGGCTGGTTGAGATGTTAGTTCTCTTTATAACCCACAAAGAGAAGGTCTCTGAGGGCAGCAAGGTGGGAGGACCAAAGCCCTGGGAGATACCCGGGTTCTCATCCCTGCTCTGAACAAGCCACTTGAAGCTTCTGAGCTTCAGTGTCCTCGTCTTTAAAAGGAGAAAGAAGGTTGTGGCCGGATCAGATCCAGTCATGTAGGGGTGGTGCTTTGCCAGCTCGCAAGTTCCTGAAAGCATGAGCCCTTGTTACCTCTAATGCTAAATTGCCTGCTTCTCTACCCCCAGGCATTACCGTGGACAAGTTTGGGCTGATTTACTTCGTGGATGGCACCATGATCAGACGCATTGACCAGAATGGGATCATCTCCACCCTGCTGGGCTCCAATGACCTGACATCGGCCCGGCCCCTCAGCTGTGATTCTGTCATGGATATTTCTCAGGTAAGGAGGTGGCTTCCCCTGCCAGAGCCCTGGGTCTGTCATCCTCTGTCTGCCACTGGCCAGTCTGTTGGCAGTTCATCTTTGCACTGAACCAGCCTGTTAGGGCACTCACTTGGTGCTTGGCCTTGATGAGCATGACACAGCCATGTCCTGGGAGTTTACCATCAGGGGTTACAATGTGTGGCCCTAGTAGGGGCTCAGGGACAGTGAGAAAATCTGCATGAGGAAGCCCGGGAGCAGCACAGTCTGGATAGAGCTGTACACCCTGTCAGTTCACACCCATGGCCACACGAACTCCTCTCGGGTGGCTAACAGGCCTCTGTACGTGGTATGCTCTCTGTCTAGACTGTATGCTCCCTGAGGACAGAGATTCTGTCAGTCTTTTCCTCTGCTATAGTCAGGGTGTCTGCTACATTGTAGGAGCACAATCTATATTTGTCGATTGATTAAGTGATTGATTGAAAACCAGCTTTGCCTCTCTCTCACTTACTAGCTCGGTAACTTTAGTCAACTTTCTGAAGTCATGTAGCCTCATTTTTCCTATCTGTAAAATGGAAATAATTTGCATCAGCCTTGGAGGATTGCCTTGAGAAGACATAAAAAGATGCATGCAGGGCTCTGGGCTCTGCTGGCTCTTCAGGGGCGATGAATGAACCAAGGTGCCCCCTTTCACAAAGGAGGTAACATTTATGCCAGGTTTTAAAGGTTATATAAGGGTTTTCTGAGTGGCAAGAGAGAAAAAGAGACATTTCACACAAAGGAAATGGCATATGCAAAAACACAAAAATTTTAATGAGTCTAGCATATTCAAGGAACATGGAAGGCTGAATACCAGAATATAGGGTACTTGAAAGGGAGTGGCAGGAGGCATGTCTGGGGCCAGTTAGGGAAGGACCTTGTCATACCACTCCAGAGAGCTTGGACTTGGTAGCAGACACCAGCATAGGTCGGATAGAGACACCAGTGACTGACTCTGAGCACGTCCTGTGATGACTTGGCAAGGGATGTGTCCTTTATTGCTTGATCCCTTGGCAGGGCCTGGCCTATGCTGAATCTTGCCAATATTACCAAAACCTGGGAAATCAGGAGCATTGAATTATATCAAATTGCAAATTGGTTTCCGCTCCAGCAGCACTTAGCTTGTTAAACCCCTTCACTCTTAGGGGGGCCTGCACATGCATGCCCTTTCCGCAGGCTGTGGCACCTGCCGCAGTCTCACTGGTCATGCCTGCCTCTGTTACTGACATGTGTCACTGAGCCCTTCCACGGGGCCCCGCGACTGCTGCTGGCGGTCCCAGCACATGTCTCATCCTTGTCACATGTTGGGGCGGTTTCCCTCTGCGCCAACTAATGTGATTGTTACACTCCAGAATGGAATCTGTTCTCTGCCACTCGTCTTTGCAATTTGGCAGGCTTCCCCTTTCTGGCTCGAGAGTTTCCCTCTCCGGTCTGTGAGCAAGCTTGAATTACCCACCAGGAAGCTGCCATGACTTAAGGATGTGCATACAAGTATTTTCAGTTCTCCAAATGGGCCCTTACCCAGCCAGCATAGGGTGCTGAAAATTTTCAGTACACACATTGGAAAATAGTTTAACTTCAGATAGAGGTACTGCCAAGCAGTCAGATCAAAGGCTCGGAAGACAACTGGCATCTACTAGAGGAGGGGAAAAAAAACCTACACTTAGATTCAGAAATCCTGGACTGAAATTGCTGTACTCTTGGCCCTCGCTACTTTCGTCTGAATCTTGGCATGGGATTTTTTTCTTACCAAACTCCCTGACACCAGGCATATATTTTTACATACACGTATGGGCAGAGGGTACTGGCTTTCATTCTTAGAACTTCCTCTGTTAGAAACACCTATCTACTCTGCTGCCCGATGGGGAGCAGGGAGATCAGGCAGAGAGAGAAGAGCACAGCTCAGGGACAGGAGTGCAAAGGAGAGAACCAAGGAGACAGGAGCGGCTGCTCAGGAAAGAGACTAAGTCCAGGCCCAAAAGAAACCAGGGCATGGTTTCTGGAGTAGAGAAGGAACAGGAGATCCAGCAGCCTGGATTACCATAGCCTGTTAAGACCTGGGGAGCGGTTCTCAGTTCAGCAGGGTGTGGCCATCACAGAGAGAGTGTAATCCTGTACTTAAGATCCAAAACAAGAATTTATAATGTGCCAGGCACTCAGTTAGAAATGAGGACACAGAGGTGAGCACGATTTCTCTTAATTAGCTGTCACAATAATCTCATGGGGTAGATATTATGTACCCCATTGTATAGATAAAAACAACCTGAGGTTTGGTAAAAGAAAATGCATTTAGAAGTGCAGAGCCCTGTACCAGTTTCCATCAGGGGTGTGGAAGGAAATTTTTAATGGAAATCATGTACATAAATTGCCTAGCACAGTGCCTGCCTGCTAAGATGTAAATGTTAGTTCCCTTTATAACCCACAGAGAACTTCCTTGTAAATTGTCTCATTGGGTCCTCACAACTACCCTATGTAATATTTATTACCCCCTTTTACAATGGAGAAAAAAAGTTCAATGTTTAAGAAAAGTAAAGTGGGCTCGGCGCCTATAGCTCAACCCGGCTAAGGCGCCAGCCACGTACACCTAAGGTGGTGGGTTCGAATCCCCAGCCCGGACCCGCCAAACAACGATGGCTGCAACCAAAAAATAGCCGGGCATTGTGGTGGGCACCTGTGGTCCCAGCTACTTGGGAGGCAGAGGCAGGAGACTCGCTTGAGCCCAGGAATTGGAGGTTGCTGTGAGCTATAATGCCATGGCACTCTGCCCAGGGGGATAGCTTGAGGCTCTGTCTCAAAAAAAAAAAAAAGTAAAGTGGCATGCAGTAATTGTGGAAGTGGGACAGAAAATGAGGAGTCCTGATCACAATCCATTGCTCTCTCTATGCCATTCGCTGGTCGTGCATTCATTTGACGATGCACGTTTCCAAAACCACCCCACAACAAGGCAGTCAGCTCCAGTGCTTTAGTAAAGGCACAGAGTGCTCTCAAGGACAGGGAAGAGAGCGCTCTCCTCCACGCTGCAACCACAAAATGTGGGAGCTGGAGTACCTCTGATGTTATGACGTCTAGTCCCTCCATTCTGGTGAGGAATCATTACTAACAGGGAAGAGAAATGAGAGAGGCTTAGGTAGTCGGTCTGGTCAGGAGTCATTCATTACACAGGCAGCACAGCCGACCATGGCCAAGAGCAGAGCCTCCTCCCTCCCCAGGCTCCTCTGTGCACTTGGTGTGAGGGCAGAGTGTAGGAAAGCGCCTGCTCTTCATTCCTCCCTCTCTTTCTTCTCCCCTCACCCTCCACCATTCTCTCTCCCCACCCCACCCATCAGGGAGCCATCTTTTCACCATAATGACAGGTAGAAAGGTCTCTCCAAGCAGTTCCCCAAGGTGCCACAGGACCAGAGGGCATAAAATATTTAGCAGCCAGTGTTGACAAGAAATGGGTTTTAGGAAATTGAAAATCCCCCTGTCACTTTAGAGCAAACTGTGCTCTTAATGCAGCCTGAAAGCTGCCAGGACGCTGTGCTCTTTGAAACAGCTGCCCTGTTGCAGCTCCTTGGTTTGGTGGGTGAAGGATCCAGACAGGGAGTGAGGGAACAAAAGGCTTTAGGAGGCAGGAGCCAAGGACAGAGTTCTGAAGAACTGAGAACTGGCCTGCCCCGGCCTGAGAGTGGCCCTGAGCTGAAGGGAACAGATAGACAGAGCGGTGGCCTCATCTCATGTGTATAGAACTTATTAGGGTTTCTTTGTACCTTGGAAAACTACCACTTTTATATTGTAAAAAATATAATTCAGAAATCATAAAGAAGAAAATTATAATTACTTTTAATCCCAGAATGATTAACATTTTGGTATATATTCTTTGCTTAAGCTTTCGATCTCCTCATTATCCATAATCCATCTAAAGTTCTTGTGCTTTTTTCTCCAATTGGTATCGCACTGTGCTTACAGTTCTGTAACCTGTCCTAATATACAGCAGATATTTCCCCCTGCAATTAAACATCCATCTATAACATCACTTCTAACAACTACACACAGCATTTTAATTGACAGGTGAACTAAATGTACTATTATGTAGTTAATTTTCAGTTAGTGAGCATTTGAGTTGGTTCCAGTTTTTACTATTTTTAAAAATGGCTGTGCTAAACACCCATGCAGACCATGACGTACAAGAGTAAATTCCTAGAAGAGACACTTCTTTTCTAAAGGTAAACGCTTGCTTAAGCCAGCCCTAAGTTGGACCAAATGGTAAGGCTTTGTAGGGGGCTACAGTATGTTTTTGGGTAAAGTAGAAAAATCAGCAGGAAAGTGGCTATTGGCACTTCTGTTCCACACGTAGCTCAGCTAGAACCTCTGAGGGACACAGTCAGCAAAGAGTGTTCCCTTAGTGGCAACACCTGCACGGTTCACCTGCACTGAACAAAGCATTCCTCATTCAGACGTGCCAGCTGGAATCCCCAGGAGCCCACTTGAAGCCCATCCTTGCCAGTTTCCCAGCACAGGCCTCTGAACTCCTAGTTCCCACAGCCAGGCTTTGTCGTCCCTTCCAGGAGGACCTCCTCTCTGAGACATAGAGACCATTATCTAGATCAGGGTTTCATAAGTGTCGGTGTGCACAGAAATCATGTGGGGATGTTGCTTAAATGCAAGGCTTCAGGTAAGGGCTGCCACTCTGCTCTCTGACCAGCACCCCGTGGTGCCAACACTGCTCTGTCTGATCATCACACTGTAAGGAGCAAGGATCCAATTGTGATCCTCAACCCCACATTAGAATCACCAGGTAGATTTCTGAAATAATGCGAATGCCTGAGCTCCAGCACCCAGGCATTTTATTTAACCAAGGGTAGGATTTATGCACCAATATTTTCTAAAATGTCCACAGGTAATTTGAATGTGGGACCAAATTTGAGAGTCACTGGTCTAGAACCGTGTCAGACAGTGGCTGCAGTAATTTTGTCTTTACAGCCCTAGCACCTAGCCAGGTGTTAATCCATGAACTTGAAGGATTGTGAAATGATCTCCCATACATGTACCATACCCACTATTCACAAAGAGTCTTTCTTCAGCCACTCAACAACTCCTACTTCTGCCTCCAAACTCCATCTGCCTTCCCCTCCCACCTCTAGAACACCAGCTGCCATCATTTGAATTCAGCACTGTTGTCATCCTGTTCTCCAGATGTGAATAGGGAGGCTCGGAGAGTAACTTGCCCAGAGTCATAACAGTGGACTGGGATCTGAACCCAGGCCTATCTGACTCCAAAGTCTGCCCTTTCACCTACTGTTTCATTGTTGTTGTTGTCCCTTTCTTCATGCTTTGTCAGCCTAACAGAGACTAGCAGGTGTCTCAGTGGGAGCTGTGTCAGGGTTTCACTCTGATCAGGAGGCTCACACTTCAGTGTTGACAATAGGCTGTGTGAGGACCAAGCAAGACTATATACGAAGGCAGTGTGGATGCTGTTACAGGCTACACGGGATGCAGGATGATGGGCGGTGAATATCTGCCAATCATTTGAGTGTTGGTATCTTCCTTGTCAGGTTCGCCTGGAGTGGCCCACAGACTTAGCCATCAACCCAATGGACAACTCACTTTACGTCCTTGACAACAACGTGGTCCTACAAATCTCTGAAAACCACCAGGTACGCATTGTCGCCGGGAGGCCCATCCACTGCCAGGTCCCTGGCATTGACCACTTCTTGCTCAGCAAAGTGGCCATCCATGCAACCCTGGAGTCGGCCACCGCCTTGGCTGTTTCACACAATGGGGTCCTATATATTGCTGAGACTGATGAGAAAAAGATCAACCGCATCAGGCAAGTCACCACGAGCGGAGAGATCTCACTCGTTGCTGGGGCCCCCAGTGGCTGTGATTGTAAAAATGATGTCAACTGTGACTGTTTTTCTGGAGATGATGGTTACGCCAAGGATGCAAAGTTGAATACCCCTTCTTCCCTGGCTGTGTGCGCGGATGGGGAGCTCTACGTGGCTGACCTTGGGAATATCCGAATTCGGTTTATCCGGAAGAACAAGCCTTTCCTCAACACCCAGAACATGTATGAGCTGTCCTCACCAATCGACCAGGAGCTCTACCTGTTTGATACCAGCGGCAAACACCTATACACCCAAAGTCTTCCCACGGGCGACTACCTTTACAACTTCACCTACACGGGGGATGGTGACATCACACTTATCACAGACAACAACGGCAACATGGTTAACGTACGCCGAGACTCCACCGGGATGCCCCTCTGGCTAGTGGTCCCAGATGGCCAGGTATACTGGGTGACCATGGGCACAAACAGTGCACTCAAAAGTGTGACCACCCAAGGACACGAGTTGGCCATGATGACGTACCATGGCAACTCTGGCCTTCTGGCAACCAAAAGCAATGAAAATGGATGGACAACATTTTATGAGTAAGTATCCAGACAAGACCATTTGATGGGTTTGTTTCATCAGATGCATTGTAGGATTAGAGGTGAACTGATGGAGTATTAATGTGTGTGTAGGGGGTGTTTCCTATCAATTCATGATCTGGAATATAAACATTACATATGTTCTGCATGTTTATAGTCCAGATGATTTCTCTAAGGAAGGAAATGGTATAGTAAAAAAGGCATGAGCTTTGGAGTCAGAGGAGTTGAACTTCATCCCAACTCTACCATGGACTCAAACTCTCTAGTCCTCAGTGTCCACATCTATAAAATGAATACAGGGCATACTCACCCAGCATACCCCAGGGAGGTGATGGAGAGGAAAAATATTTGATGAAATGCTAGCATCTTCATATGCCCATCGTCCCCAAATAGGGCAGGGGGAGAAGGAACAGTCCCAGGTGGACAAGTGTTCCACATAACTGAAGCTTTTTGGGTAGAATTTCTTAGGAAATACACTACATGCCTCCCTTCTCAAGCATTCTAGACTGTCAGTCATTGGTAAGGAACAACACAATGGCTCATTCTGCTGCAGTGTGAAGGGAGCTTCCAGGACAGGGAGTGGGGAGTGAGGAAGGAGACAGACCCCTTCACTCCTGCCTAAAGTGATTTGAAACTACTCTTTTGTTTGGCTCCTGATCTCAAGGGCACAGCTTCCTCCCTCTGGGTGGCGCTGTTGTGTCACCAGTTATCTCGGTCCTAGCTCACGCATCACTAGCTCACTTCAGGCTTCTTCAGGGGTGTGGTCAGAGAACCAGAAGTTCAGCTTGTTATGATCTTAGCCAAAATTAAAGCTATGTCTGAGGTGCTCCTCTGTAAGATATTTAAATGAATGGACTGACATCTCTTTTTCTATGTAAATGTTGTTAAGCATTTCTTTGAGATCTTAGCCATGTTCCCAACAGCTAAGACTACTGAATATATCACCATTAAATAAGGATGCAAGAGATGGGGCAGAAGTTAGCCTTGTTGAGCTGTGGGCTAGGAAATACATCATTGCGTTTAATCCTCACAACAGCTCTGGAATATGGGCGATATTATCCATTTTGTTGACGATCTTTGACTCAGAGAGGCTCCGTTGTCCACTGTTTAGTAGTGAGAACAGAGCAGACCAGGGATCACACCCAAGGCTGACTGAAGCCAGCACTGATGCCTTTCGGCTCTGCCCTGCTGCCCTCCCACCACCACCAGTTGAGTTGGTTAATTCCAAATGAACTCGACTCCTGGAACCCTAAATTTTTCTCAAGCTTGATCAAGCATTTGTTTCTCACAGGCCTAGAAGAATCCAGAGGAAAAGGATCTGTAATCAATTTTTTTTTTTTTTTTTGAGACGGCACCTCAAGCTATCCCCCTGGGTAGAGTGCCGTGGCATCACTCTCACAGCAACCTCCAACTCCTGGGCTCAAGCGAGTCTCCTGCCTCAGCCTCCCAAGTAGCTGGGACCACAGGCGCCCGCCACAATGCCTGGCCATTTTTTGGTTGCAGCCATCATTGTTGTTTGGCGGGCCCGGGCTGGGGATTCGAACCCGCCACCTTAGGTGTATGTGGCTGGCGCACTAGCCGCTTGAGCCACAGGCGCCGAGCCAATCAATTTTTAAGTACAATACAGTGTGTGTGTGGCAGAGCCAGAACATTTGCACAAAAATGTCCCAGAAATTTGCGCAAAGTTCACTGGCTAAATTCCTTTCTTCAAATAAGGACCTTGTTAATCACAAAGAAAAGACAAAGATCCAGGGAAACAGCAATTATCTTGATTAACTCGTTGAGATGGAAATACATTAAATAATTCAATTTTCCCCATTGCCCAGTGGAATTCTCTTATACATTATTTAGCCAATACAGGGGTTTCTTTGTCAGAGCAAGTCTGCGCACTCAATTAGTTCCCAAGGTCACTCCCTCAGATCCCAAAATAAATACTTACACATCACTGCACCATTACCCTCTCCATCCCTGAAATCTAAGACCATTTCCTACACTGCTACCAGAAACGATCCTTCCCTCTTTTTCCTTGATGAAATATACAGCCATAGTTGAGATGTTATAAGGAAGGAAAGATATTATGATTGCTTTTTATAAAATGCCACTTGGAATTTCAAAGAATCAACTTTACAGCAGTACCCAGGAGGAATACATGTATTGATCCTTGTTGACACAAACCAAAAACGAAAGAGAAAAGCCCTAAATTAGAAAGGCAAACTAGTTTTTCTGAGATCCTACTATGGGCCAGGCTCATTTAATCTTCACAGCAACCTCAGATGGTAGGGATTATCATCCACATATTTAACACGGGAACCAAACAAAGCACAGAAAGATTCATAACAAGCATAAAATCACACGGGTCGTGTGTGGCAGATCCAGAACCTGAGTCCAAATTCTTTAACCTGCCCTGGCCAAGTTCGCTATGTTCTTGGAGACTTATCTGTATGATCGGGACTTAAACAGTATCTACATGGATTTCATAGGGATAGTCTGAGGTTCAAAATTTCAGTGAGATAAAATGTGGAAAGCTCAATGTCAGAGTCATCAGTACTCAAATGGTGGCTGCTGCTGTTGTTAGTTCAAGCAATATCAATGGCAGTACCAGTAATTGAAGAAATATTATTTGGGTGTGAAAGCAGATGCAGGTAAACTCACCAAAGGACCAGACAGAAAGAAGTTGTAACTGAAGGAAGAAGGAATCAGAGGGCAGGCAAGGAGAGCAGAAGCAAGTGTCAAGTAGGAGAGATCAAGACAGGAGCTAGGAAAGAAGTCAGATCCCTGAGAATATCCAAAATGGGCAGGGGAAATGGCATTTAGACTGGGCTGAGGCTAAACAGTTTGGCTCAGACTGGGAACAAGGGGCACCAGATACCCGTTTTCACTGGATGTTAGCTGCATGACTCGAGAGCAGGCTGGCTGGCTGCCAGGCCCAGGTCTCAACTGGACATAAATAACCCCTGCCCTGCCCCATTTCTGGCCTACTATGAGGATCAAAAACTGAAACAAATACCAAGAATGAAAATGCTTTGCAAACTACAGGCTCCCTACAAATAAGGGTATGTTGTTATTTGCCATTACGGTATGGCTGAATAAGGATTTAGACAGATTTTGCCAATGAACCATTGCTCCAGTGAGGTTTCTACCATTGGCTCCACTAGAGAACTTAGCGGATTCCAACCCAAATATTGTAATATTAAAAAGAAAATCAGTTCAGGCTTGCCTGTGACGTGGGCTATTACTGAAACAAATTTTAAGTTGGCTATATCGACCCTCTTAACAAATTAAATAATATATCTAACATAAACATCACATGCTTCAGAGCAATCTGAGTTAGAGAGTTCGTAACTCTAGAGAATCAAGGTTACTTCCTTCCCCTAAGCCCACAGGTCTGCTGGTAGAAAACCTCAAAAGAGTTAGAGCCATCCCCATCTTCAGTGTGTAGTGCTTTCGCTCTCAGACATGGCTTCGGGTCAGATGGCATTGGGTAGCTAAGGAAATGGCTAATGAGTGTGAGCCAGTTTCCAAAGTTGACTTGCTAGGTGGGTGTGAGCAACAGTGTCTCCAAGTTTCATAAGGGAAATAGCTCTGCCCCCCCCCCCCGTAGTGCCCTATGACCGCTTGTGCTATAATTGTGTTCATGTTAACTGCCGTGAGACCCTTACTGATTTGTCTCTGTATCAAACCAGCAAGCAGGGTTGACAAATAGTAAAGATTTTGTGAATGAAATATAAGTTCAGGAGGAAAAAACGATAAAGACAGGAAACAAAAATAATGCTAGAGTGAGAAGAATACTGCATTCAAATCTCAGCTCCAGCACTGGTGGGGCTTGGGGTTTTTTTGTTTGTATTTTTGAGACATAGTCTCACTCTGTCACACTGGATCAACCCATGGGCTCAAGCAATCCACCCACCTCGGCCTCCTGGAGAGCTAGAATTATAGGGTACTCAGTCCCATTGATGCTCTTGACAGGACACAGAATTCACTCAAATAGGCCAAATGAAAAGGCTTGGCTTCTAGTTTTTGCTGGGGGATGTAAGAGCTATTAAGTGCGTGGTTCCCTGCCTTCTGAAAATAAGCTAGACAAAAGGCAAATTCATGACATGGTCATAGGGCAACCAACTGCCCCCAATCCAAGGAGAGACAGGCTCCTGCAGAAAGATGTGAGCACTGGCTTCCCTGGGGTGGATACAAGCAGAGGTAGGTAAGAAGAGTTCAGCCGGGGTGGTCAGCAACTTAGTGGAGGTTCAGTATGTACTGGGGAGAGAGTCTGAAGCCCTCTGAGGATGCAGAAACTGGGGGAGTCTATGTCCTCGTCAGTCAATGGCAGTACCAGTGGGGGTTCTGCACGAATCCCACCAGGGCTTTTCCTGCAGAAGAGAGCAGAGAAGGGTTTAAGGAAGTGTCCCTTGTGGTAGACCTAGGGTTCAGGGCATCTAGCAGCTGCTGAGGGGGAGCTTCCTGTTCCACCCAGACCCCCTGCCCTCATCTCCCCTCAGGAACAAAAGCCCCATCTGTGAGGAGAAGGGCACCCAACACCGTCCTGCTTAGGCGCTGGGGAAACCCTTTCAGCTGAATGAGAGGAGAAAAGAAAGGCTAAAAAACCGCTGGGAGAGGAGCAGGCACATGTGAGGAGCCCAGCACTCCAGCCGGAGTACAGGCAGGGGCCCCAGAGAGGCCGCAGTCCAGACTGAGGCTGGTCAAGACAGGAGAGGACGCTCCACCACCACCACAGCTGCAGAGAGGCTGAGGGCAGCAGAGAGGAGCAGAACACGTCTGGGAGAGGGGGAGAAGGGGCAAGAGGGTGGCAAGTGGACAGAGACCCTCTCTGGGGTGCTGCACAACGTGGGGGGCGGGGGCGTGCAAAGCAAAGGGCGGAGCAGGAAGGGAGAACAGAACTCTCTGACAAACCAACTTCCCAGCCCTAAGACAAGGCATTGCCAGCGGCACTTAAAGCCTGCGTGCACTAAGGTTAACCATAGAACCAAACGGCAGAGACAGCCCAA